TCCAAGTGGGCTCTCCCGTGACCGTCGGCTTTTTAGAGAATCCTGCTCCTGAGTCGTAGGACTTGTATAGCTCGGCAGTCTTTCTTGTTAAGCATTAGTTTCCACCCCTTAATGCTCAAACTCACACGTGAAATAGCGTCAACCGTGACGGTTGAATTCCACTAGTCCTGCATTTTTGTGTGTACTGGCTCTAAGAAGCATTAATTATCAAAGTCTTCAATAAATTGTAAAATATTCGTTAGTTTTTTGGATGTCCAGCACATGTGAAATCATTGTTACTTGTTTGCATAGTTTGAAACTTGTGTAAAATGTATATGATAAGAATTCCACTTCCATTTTATGGGTGATTGCTAATTACATCATACACAGAACGTTATATATCGGTAGGCCACATACTTCTGGAGTGGTTTAGACATGGGCAATTGATATGGACCGTACTGCCACTTCAGGAGTCAAGAGTTCAAGGAGAACAACAAACATATCTGTGGCAACATTGATTGAGGTGGGGAAAAAAGGGTTATTAGTATGATATCATTAATTTGTTTGATTTTGGAAATGCCCCTAGACATCACTTTGGGCCTTACTTCATTTGAGAATATATTGTAATTATATAATATCAAGCTGTTTGTAAGAATTGCAAAAATCCAATTCTAAACCAGCTGTGGAAATTGGATTTTATGATTCTTGGATACTAGAGCTTAATTTGTGCTTTTATACTTGTGCTTGTTTTGAGTCATCTACTTTGGTTCCATGTTGCTGTTAACCAAACTAATGTCATACTATCTTGCTCGTGCACTCAGTGTTCCTCCGGGCCAATATTAGAATACAACATCTATCATTCTATAGTCTACCTCATAGCTTCAGAAAGTTGTTGAATTTTTTTTCTAAGCATTAATCGGAACTGCTGCCCTATCCTGATCTTTATTTGGCTACAACTCCTCAGGTTACTCCCTTATCATGTCGTATCAGACTTTGAAGCAGAAGAAGATGACCGAATCCTCGACAGTGACACAACAGGACAAGTCCCCTCTCGCCTGCAGCAATGGGATCATAACATCCTCGCAAAAATTGCTGAGTTCACTACCACTTTCGAGAAGCAAGTCCTCGCTTTCAACATAATGTCTCGAAAAAGAGCCCTTGGCGAATTCAGATCAGAAGAAAGGCTCATGATCGAGCAAGCCCTCCTCCAAGAAGAAAAGCAAGCCATACTTGAAATCAGAGCAGAGATGGAGTCAAGAGAGAGAGCCAACAGAGAAGCAGCAGAGGCCAAGATGAGGATGGCAATGGCTCAGGCTGAGCAGGCTCGGGCTGAGGCCCAGGCCCATGCTGAGATGATGGCCCGAGCACCGCCGATGAGGGCGAGCGCTATGGGATCTCATGGGGATAGTGGTTCTGGTGGTCATGATGTTGGATCTGAGCAAGGAGGCAATATGGAAGAGATGATGCATGGTTGGAGAAATAGTAGTAATAATAATAATAATAATAATGATAACAATGGGCAGAGGGATGATGAGGAGCCATCAGAGGATTTCTTGAATGATGAGAATGAGAATGAGAATGGAGAGGAGGCTGGATCACAAGAAGACTTCGATTTGAACACTAGATGATGCTGTTTCGAAGCGATATCAAGAGGAAGGTTAGAAATTAGCAGAAATGATGGGTTATACTGTTATTTCTTCTTGTGCATCATGGCTGTGTTGCTCTATCGGATGGACTTCATGGTTGTCGGAAAAGTTTATAATATTGATGTAGAATTGTTTGTTTACAGGGGGGCTTAGATTCTCTTCAATTGCATCTCATACTTTGAGCTAACAAAGTTCACACTGTATTTGAGATTTAAGTAGCATGCGTATTTACATTGCTGTGGAAAAAGCCAGAAAATATTCAAGTAGCCTGAAAATACCACATTTGTATTCCTGGCACGTGACCCCCCTCTTGGTAAATATGAATGCCCTCTTTACTGCAATTTGTATTCTACTTAATACCTTCAACCGTAACTAAAATCATGGGGGGAGAGGACAAATTTTCAAAACCAACCTATTTCCTCTTTTAATTGCAAAAAAAGACCCGTTTGGGTTTTATTTAGAGAAACCGACCTGGTTTCAGCACTGTCGCTGAAACCAGGTCGGTTTCTCTAAAAAAACTTACGAAACTACACGGGAGTTCAACTCCCGTGAAGTTTAGTACGTTTTTAAACTTCACGGGAGTTCAACTCCCGTGAAATTTAAAACCATCATTAAACTCCACGGGAGTTCAACTCCCGTGGAGTTGCAGGGTAAACTCCAGCGAGCAACTCGCTGGGAAATCTGGCCTCTTCACGGGAGTTCAACTCCCGTGAAATTTAAAACCATCATTAAACTCCACGGGAGTTCAACTCCCGTGGAGTTTGTTCTGTTGTTAAAACTCCACGGGAGTTGAACTCCCGTGGAGTTACAGGCCAAATTTCCCAGAGAATCGCTCTCTGGGAAATTTGCACTGCAACTTCACGGGAGTTCAACTCCCGTGAAGTTGCAGGTTTTACAAAAAACATGCACAGCATGCATACATCTACCTATTTAACTCATATATACAACTATTTACCTGTTAACAACAATTACTACAATATATATATAATTTAAACACGCACGAATCAAATAATACTCAAAAAGATCACATATCGAGCTATAATCGATCCACAAAAGTATAGTATTTGAAAATTCATACAAGTTACAAATTTTAACAAAATAAGTTCAAATACAACCCAATATAGCTCCTCTCCTTCCTCTCCCTCTCTTCCCCCTCCTGCAATATATATATTATTTAAACACGCACGAAACAAACAATACGCAAAAAGATCACATATCGAGCTATAATGATCCATAAAAGTATAGTATTTGAAAATTCATACAATTTATAAATTTTAACAAAATAAGTTCAAATACAACCCAATATAGCTCCTCTCCTTCCTCTCCCTCTCTTCCCCCTCCCCCTCGCTCTTCCCCGCCCCCCGCGCTGATGAGCCTCGACTATCTGAGTATCCGGCTGTGTGTGAGGCTGCGAAGTGCCGGCTCCATCAGCATGTGAAGTGCCGGCTTCATCAGCATGTGAAGTTCCGGCTCCATCAGCATGCGAAGTGCCGGCTCCATCAGCATGCGAAGTGCCGCCGTCATCGTCACGTGGCCGTCGGCGCCGAGTGTACGCTTGCCCAAATGATCGAGACCTGTCCTCACGGCCTGCGAACTCGTCGACGTGAGTCTTATGAAACACCTGCGCTATGGTCTTCTTGATCCTGCCGAGGAGCCCTAACGCCACCTGATCCTGAATCTCAGGCACGGTCGCATCAATATCAGCCTGAATGCTATCCAAAGCATGGACCTGTGAGGTAAATAATTTATTAAGTACCAACTCAAGAAAAAAATATTATAATTTAGCTTAGAAACTTACGTAATCTCTCTCGTTCATCCCACTAGGGATGTAACTGTCTGTCGGTGGCCGTGGCATGTGTCCAGCTAAGGGCTGTGGGTCACGTGTGATCCATCTACGTGTGATACCCCAATACCAACCCATATACGCGGTATAGTCAACAGCTGTGGGCCTCGTATCCTGGATGAAATCCCACCTGTGAGCCCACCTGTCTATGTAGGCCGCACGGACTACGGCCCAGTCGTTATGGTGCGAAGTAGGTCGCCGCCGACGAGAGATCTGCTCAACAGGATCTGGTACATGCTGAGAGAGCGTAAACTGTCGTAGCACACGGTCAGGGACATGCATCTCCACGATCTCCCAACAAATCAATGGAACTCTCGCTCTCCACAAGTCGGGACTATCTCGGCAGATGGGTGCAAGAGAATGCATATCCAGCTCCGGCGGTGTATAGGGTCTCCACTTGAACTGAAATAAAATAAAAAATTTATCAGTATCAACAACAAAACTATAATATTCATAACGACTTGAGATTTATATTTACCTGTTCGTGTTGGAGACCATCAAGCTCATTTCGGTAAAACTCACGATGGCGCGTCGCTGATCGGTACTTAGCGTACCGCACGTTATACCTATATGCAGAATAGAGAATATATAAGTACAAATTCAGTGCGAATAAAATTTGTGAGAATATATAAGTACAAATTCAGTGCGAATAAAATTTGTGTGTACAATTATACCTGTACGCCAAAGGAAACCGCCCTTGTAGGTCACGGTGCACGAGTAAAGTAGGGCGTCCAATATGAATGCGCTCCCATGACCAAATCTGTATCAATGTGCAGCATCCCTTGAATTCTTTATTCTGCATCAGGGATACTCTACTCAGTTCTCGATACAAGTATGCCAACACCGCACTGCCCCACGACAGTGCGCCGCATACGTCAAAATCCTCCAGCAGTGACAGCCATCGTGCATGTACGAGAGTCTTGCTCGCATCCGGAAAAAGCACGCACCCTATCATGTGCAATATGTAAGCCATTGAAATACTCATCTAGTTATATATAAACAACAAACGAATGCGCAACGTGAAGAAAGCAATAACTCGAAACCAAACATTAAATTTATATAACATAGTACGAAACGATACAAATTACAATCACAAATGACACACGGAAACAAACACAGAACGAAACCCCTAACATTTAACAATCACAAATGACATACGGAAGAAAACACAGATCGAAACCGCTACAAATTACAACATCAACGCCTAATCCTAACTGGACAATTATTTTTGTTATGGCCCGGTTGATCGCATCTACTATACTTATTTCTCCCCCTAACTCCTTCACGACCGTCATCCATACAATTTCTAATTCGTACGGAACGAGGGCGCCCCGCCGACCTTTTATACAAAGGAGG